ATTGAATCAGGGAACTAATCAGGCTAAAAGCGTCCTACGATAAAACTTTCAAGTGAAGTTTCCTTCTGGACGGAATCGGAGTAGTTGCAGGATAGTTAAGAAGAATTTAATTATAATCCATACGGAGGAGTGCAGAATTAACTGCGCTGTGAGTGCGTGGTATCCTATGAGATGAATACCGAACTTTACTAGCATTTTATAAGCGGAATCGCTTGTTATAGAGTTCCTGCGAGGCATTAGAAAGAAAATGCGAAGGAGCGCGAAAAACATACATTTACTCTTATAGCCAAAGGCACGAGTCAATAGACATCCTTTTCATCTGGGTTCCGGTTCGGTTAAAGGGCCGAGGAATTGGCTAAAGCCGGAGCATCCCTTGATGAGTCCGAAGTAGAGGCAATAAACTTTCCACACGAACTCGTCAAAAGGGAACAATTTGTACGTATGGCTGATACGCGTTGGAACAAGTTGAAACCTGCAAAACTGCGAGGAATATCAGGTCGCAGATAAACCAAAGATAAAGGAACTTTAAAGGAAATTGAGGAAATATATAGTCAAGTTAACCGTAATGACAACGGATCCTTGGCCCTTTAGCGAAACTGCAACCAAAATGGGCCTTCCGTACAAGCCGCGGAGTCGTAGCTGCAGTCTAGAGGATAGTAAGAAAACTATCCTGTACTATCTTTGCATGCGAGTGTCCAGCATTGGCACGCAACAGGCTTTATACACTTTAGAGATTCTTAATCCGAAATGGAGGTCTACAAACCACCTTACTTACATAAATAGATTCATCGAAAAATCGTAAGTGTTTTGATGAAACTGACGAATTACGAAAGTAGATTATATCATGTATTCCAGAGAAAACGTATCAAAATGATGCTCCCAGCGCTAATTGCATCCTGGTTGGTTCTTCCAACAAACGAACCATTTACAAAGTTGTTTTGCCTGAATTCATTTGTCGCTGACAATCTAACAGCTGAATATGCTGCAATATTCTCCAGCTTGAAGTCTATTGGCGACAATTTCAGTTGTAGACCTTGAAAGCAACCGTTGCAGTTTCCCCCAGCACCTACGTTCTGAAGAGAGCTACCGTTCACGGAAATAAAGCCCCGTGAATTGGTCTAACTACTGCTGTGTAGCGCGAATGCATCACCTGGTCTTTTTCGCACTTTCTTTAATATTGCGTTTCTTTTCTGTGCCAACTGACGCCAATTGGAAATGCCAAGTGAAGCCAAGTCCTTCTCCACCTGGTATTTCCATCGCATTGAGGGCTTTCCTCTTCTTCTGTTTTCACTAGAGGGTTCCGAGTTGAATAGTTTCAGAGCTGGAGCGTCGGTGTCTATTCGAACGACATGGCTAAACCAGCGGAGCCGCTGTATTATAATGCGCTGCACCCACCATATCCATGTCGTTGTAAAGTTCCTAGAGCTTATCGTTTCTTCGTCTGCGGTATCGGCCGTTGTCAACGCGTAAAGGTCCGCAAGTCTTCGGCAAAATCTTTCTCTCGAATTTTCAAGAGCCGCCTCATCGGATGTTGTCAATGCCCATACTTCTACGCCAAATAGTAGTACGGGTGTGATGAGCGACTTATAGAGTCTGAGATTTCATCGAAAACGAAAATGCTTTACTAGCTTTATTAATGATATGAGCTAGAACTCCGCCGACATGTAAAATTCCTTGCTGGATAGAGTGATGGAAATTTGAGGAGTTCTAACTTTAGAAGATACTTTACATATTTCGAACGATATTTCACATCGCAGGTTTATGTTTAAATACTTTTGCGCCTTACTGTTTAAACATAATTCCAATTCTCTTTTCTAAATAATTTACTAATAAAATATTTTCTTATCAAATTTGTTTTTCCGCTTCGTTTTTGTTGTTGTAAAAGTATACATATGCATATAAACAACGGTGTATATCATACTTATGTATTAGAGGTTTACGCCGCCGAGCAACGCAGCCATTGCCGCCGTTTTTTGTCATTCCTCACGAAAATATCGGCGTGTCGCCTAAGTAATTTTGTTCAAAATTTTCATGATGTTGCACATTGAAATACATAGTTTGAAGGAACTAGTACTCGTATAAATAATGCTATTTTACGAAATGAAAACGACATTTTTAAAATGTTTCTTTTTTAGGTAATTTGCCATATGAACAAAAAAAGCGTATTTCAGAGAAAACATGGGAAAACCATTTTTCGATCTAAGGCGTTTATTAGAGTTAAATTATGGTCGGGCATTGGCAATCTAGCGACTTTTTTTTTGCGCAGTAGTAATTTTTGTTCAATACTATAATAACACTACTTTTTTATATACTAGAACAAAAACTTTAACGCTAATATCTCAGAAAGTAATTTTAACAGGTGCGTCTGACTCCTCAATTATTGGAGATATTTTTTCATTAATAAATAGTTGTAGAATTTTTAAATAGACTTTTAATAAAAAGAAAAACCTTTGTGTGCTAGTTTTTACAATCGTGAGTTATTTTATTCTGGGGTCCCAGAGACGGAGAAGATTACTAGGTGGCTGTGTAAAAATTACGTTAGCACTCATAAGTGGTGGTGAAAACCCAGGACGGTTTTGCTCCATCGCATCGCAATATTTTATACACAGGGCTAAATTTTCCCCTTTTAGGTGAAAATTAGTAAAATTCTTCGGTAATCCTTAGTAAAATTTGGCGCTTAATACTTCAGTGGAAATTTTAGCCATCTATAAGCCATTCTTTAAACAGTGGATCAAAAAGACCCGTTTTGGTGGGGGTTTATGGGTTAATCTGTGGGAAATAAAGTAGACCACCATTATTTTTAATTTACAACTCGCAAAAAATCATAACAACTCCGTAATTTAACACAACGGTAGATAAGATTATTAAAAAATTTATTAATAGCGACTAACTTAACTTTTTAAATTTTGTATTTCTTTAAATTTAAATAGTACATACGGATCTGTAGAGAGCGAATCCATCAGCGCTAGTCGCTCAACATTTTAATTCAAATAGGAAGTAACAATATTTAAATTTTAAAACTAATTCAATGAATAAATATAAAATTATAATCTGAATTGACATGGCGAATGCCTAACGCTGACGAGATGATAAGATTAGTAGCCTCAGGGCTTTTTGGAATCTACCCTATGGGCAGTAGCGCCGACGTTACCAGATGCGTCGGCGTCGCCGATTCTTTTTGAAATTGGACACGCCGCCGCCGCAAAGCCTGTCGGCGTAAATCTCTATTAAGTATGTATTTATGCATGTTAATTAAGAAAAAATAGTGAGACGCCGAATGATTCTATTTTGGAAGATAATGCATATACTTATGAATGTGTATGTGTGTACATTAGTGTGCACCCCTCTCCATAAAAAAATAGGTACTACTTTTCCATCGGAAACATAAAATCCATTATATTTTAATGTCTCCGCCTAAACATTTCGAAAAAATATTAACACGAACAAGACCTATTTGAGAATACATTCAAAAATCACGTTTTTTTTTATAAATAAAATTAGTTTTAAAAAATATTTTTTTCAAAAACTCACCTCAAATGAAAGATGAGTTTAAGCTTAAAAGGTATGCAGAAAAATGTTTAAAAATTTTACCAACGGAATCAAAATAATAAGATTTTAGGAAGAGTTATCAAATTGGTCTAGCTCACATTAATCTTAATATCTTTCCGAACTATTTTGACAGAAGTTTAAGGCCGTTTTCTAGACTGTCTGTTAAAGATAACCAGTGCTTTGTCGCTGACATGCTTATAATAAGCAATCCATAAAAAATCGATAAAGCAGACCAGGCGTCAAATTTTAGTAGGCAGTCGAGAAAATTGCCCTTAAAATATACTAAATTTTATAATTGAGTTTTGGTCATGCACCCTAATATACATATGTATGTGTGTACGTATGAAGATATATAAGCATAGATTTTATATATTTAGACATATCAAACCATTGCGTAGAGATGTGTGCCAGCCTCTGCAGTTTTCGATACGCATTCGTTTAGTTAAGCGACACAATTTTTCGGCCAAATAATTTTCGATGCAAACAAAATGCATTTATAGAAGCAAGTGGTAATAACAAACGAAAAGGCGAAATGTTTTAAAGTAATTTATGAAGAAAGGAAAATTAATTGGAATTGGCAATTACATGAATAAAAAAAATCAAATATTTAAAAGTGGGCAATTAAATTAAAAATTTATATCAACAATTCTATTTTCTTTAACGCTACTGTATAAGCAGTAAAAAGTGCGCCAAAGGTGAATAGGACATGCACGTGCTACTAACATTTCTTTCAAATACCGGCACAGCGTGTTGAAAAGTATATTTACGCATTCATTGTCGATTTCATAAGAATGCATATTTATCTGTTTTATGTAAATACACACACACGTGCTGCATACAAGAATACATGGAGGTGCGTACATACATACATATGTATGTAAGCCTATTTATGTACTTTTCTATGGCCGACAAGATGTGGTTACGGAAGCGTCGATTTTGTTTTCTGCGAGGCACAACTTTTGGCAATTTTTAATTCAAGCCACATATGCAAGTAAACAGGTGAAGGTTACCAAAACAAAACACCAAAAAAAAAATTGATAGAAAAAAAATTTGTACAAAACTGTTTAATATAAAATATGTAGTACACAAAATTCAAGCATGCAGGAAATATTAATTCAAATACTGTTAACCGTACCTACTCCCCTTACCAATATTGCACACGTTTTTTTATAAATTAATAAAAATAAATATTTGGCATTCCGGCATAGGCAAAGAAGCACAAAAGTTCAAAATAGATAAAGAAAATGCACAAATATTGAATCATGCATAAACAGCAGTGAAGTTAAAGCAAAAAATAAACTGAAAACGGTTATGGTTTTTTGAAGTAAGTTTTTAATTTGAGTCTCAGTTTGGCGTTTGAAAAGTGCGCATCAGCCGGAATTTAAAATTATAACGCTAAATTACCAAATGCAAGCAGTTTACCATATTCGCAAAGTGACCTCATAGTCTAAATGAAATTTCAACAGAATCTCGAAGCCCACATAACACCCGAATGGCGTACACAATACATCGAATATGCTGTAAGTCTGAATTAGAGCTTCTCCTCATACAACTCTCGCATCTAACTTTCTTGCCTTCCACATAGCAACTAAAGGCGATGATACTCGATGCCATTGCACAGGCGCCACCCCCTGGCAGCATTCAACACTCAGACTATTTCATTAATTTCAAGCACAAACTCTTCGAAATTTGCGATAAAGAATTAGAAAAGGTCAATATGTTTTACGAAGCGAAATTAATTGAGATCACACGCAAATACACCAACCTTAAGGATGAACTCAAGTTGGCCAAAGAGTTGACAGACAGCAGCGTATTGGCGCGTTCATCATTCATAGTTAAGAAGCCATTCTTTAGACCAACGATAGATATGACTAAGATCTTGACACGTAGCGCCAGTCATGATTTTAAGGCGGCATTTAGTGAGCTCTACTTGAATGTGATACTTCTGCGTAACTATCAGATTTTGAATCATACTGGGTTCCGTAAAGTACTTAAGAAGTATGATAAGGTAAAGTGTTTGCGTCCTGTGTAGCTGAATGGGTATGTGTACGTACAAGGGACTCATACTGACACATAGTGTCTAAGCTCATGAGTTAACTTTGAAAATTAACAGGGCAATTTTGGCAACTGTTTTTCAACACACCACTGTCTTTCGGAAGACAAAAGCCTTTCAATTCTGGGAACAATCTTGAAAGCTCTTTACTGTCTTTTGAATGAATAATTGAAAGTTCTGCTAACGAGGAGGTTTTAGCGTTATGCTGTTCGGCTTTTAGCAGTTAGTTTCTTTTAAATAAAATTAAATATAAATATTTTTCATTTTAAAACAATAAAAACTAATAAATAAAAGCAAATTAAATAAAAAAGAGAAAAAAATTAAAATAAAATAAAGCAATAAATAAATAAAAAGGAAAAAATTAAATCAATAATGAAAATAGTATCTACATAAAAATAAAAAAAAACAAAAAGTATTTTTATTTTTGAAACAAAATCTAAGAATGAAAAGAAAATAAAATAAAAAAATAAAAAATAAAATAAAATAAGTTTCTAAATATTTATGTAAATTGAAAAAGTATTTTTATTTTGTAAAATCTAAAAATTAAACGAAAATTAAACTAGAAGATGATAAAAGTTAATATGAAAAAGGTTAAAATATGTAAGTTCCTAAAAATTAAATGAAATTAGAAAAATATTCTTCTTGTAACAAGTAAGCAAAACACACAACCGACTTCAATTTGCACATACAAATTTAGGTGCACCGTTAACTTTTTCATGATCCAATGATCGGATCTAAACTAAATTAATATGGGACCACCTGTGAGACACTACCTTTCCGATAGAAAAAGAATTATCGACAGACGTGGTCCAAGGTTACGCGGTAACATACATAAAAAAAATATATATATATTCCGAAGAATTCATAACCTTCTCCTTTTTCTGAAGTCGGTTAAAAAGAATAACATCTAAAAATTAAAAGAAAATTAAATCAAGACGGGAAAAGTTAAATCAAATTAAAGAAAAAAGTACATAAACTAAGTATCTAACAAAAAAAATAAAATGAAAAAAATAAAAAAATAATAAAAAAATAACAAAAATTCGGTGCACGAGGATTCGAACTCGGATCTCTCGAATGGCACGCCTGCGTCTGTTCAGTCGGCCATTGCGACTGTTGGAGCAGCGCGAGCTAAATGGTATACAGGTGGTGAATGAGGGAGCTCTTTTTCTAAGACTTTTGTGCTAGAATAACAAAAGTCTTTCGAACTATCTTGACATCTGTCTTATATTTGTCCTAAAAGGGTGATTGTGCCATCAAGCTCAAGATACCAGCATGCTGGTACTATATTTATTTCTTTAGGAATGGGGTCCGGAAAAAGATTGAAATGAGTAGAGCCGAAATTTCATAATTCTTCTACCATTCTGTTAAACATTTGTCTTTTAAATTCACAACTGCAATATTGGGAATTTTAATCTTCCACAAACACGGCTTTGACTCATATGGTGCAGGAAACTTCCGCCAACACTTGACGGCACGGGCGTGCTGCTATCATGTATGGGCCCTTTTATGAAAGATTTTCTACTATCTTAGCCAAAATTGCCCTGTAAGTCACAACTTAACCTCAATTTTTATGCATGAGACCGTCTGTGTGTGAAATTTTGCTAATAAAATATAATGCGGCTTCTTTTTGAGTACTCTATAATTACAGGCCGATTATAAAGAATTCCTGCAAGCGATTGTGTTAAAAACTACTATCTTTATAGCGCTTTCGTGGTAGAGCTGGTCACGATTACTTCGTATCGAAAGTGGAAAATGCACTTTTCCATACCAACCGTGAAACCAAAGAGCTTTTGAGAAAAATCGAGGATGTAATGACTTTTAATCTGGAGCATGGTGATCGTCATAAAGCCATGCAGAAGCTACGTGTGCCACCACTCGCTGATCAGACACATCCATGGACTTCGTTTCGTACGGGATTTTCCTTGGGTGCCCTAATCATTCTAGTAATTATGGTTATTTTATCTTGTAAGTAAACTTTATTGAAATTGATTGGATTACACTTGACTTGCGACAACTTTAAGTGATACGACTTGAGAGATTGTACTTGATTATTTTTTTAAATTTGAATTAATTTAATATTGTATAAGGCGATGGGCTTTAATTTACAGTAATTTCGCATGCATCGATCGAAATTCAGCGTATAGAGGTACTTTGATTAACTAGGCGTCAGTTCACCTAACCTAACTTAAGTTCTATTTTCCCCGATGTATTTAAACTGACTTAACTTGATATGATTTGACCTGGCCTAAATTGACTTGACTTGATATTACGTGACTTAGGGCCAAGTTCACAGTGCGTAGTTAACCACTGATAAGAGTTTAAATATTGATTTTCATATTCACAACGCTCAGTTAACAAAAGTTTAAACCAGCATGCCCCCATAGTTAAACTCTTGTGAAATAATTTTTTTTTGTGGAACGAATTTCAAATTTGAATAGAAAAGTATTGATTTTAAGAATTTGTATATTTTCAGGCGATACGAATTTCCATAGTTAACTATGTGACTCTGAATATAAATTCATAATTAAACTCTTGTTGGTGGTTAAGTTAACACTGGTTTAACTAAGCACTGTGAATTCGGCCCTTAACGTCCACCAAAATATTTCGGAAAAAAATTAGGATTCAAGTAAGCTAAATCGGAAATTCGTTTGAAAATCTCACTTCATAAAGCTCTTTAAATTTAATTTAGTTTTTATGGATGAAGCCATAGGAGTGTTGTGAGGGAATAACGAAAAGGCGCAGCGAAGCACGTCGGGCGCCAAGTGATTTTAATTGTTTTGATTTTTTTCTTTGGGTCGATAACGATTATCTTGTTCTCTGAACGACGTCATGACCAGCTGATTTATCTGAGCATCATTTGACACTACTTTTCTCGACATCTCTTGACAAGGCTTGAACTGACATAGTATGACTTGTCTTAACTCGATCTCGCGCATGAATTTCTTTTAAATTCTTAAATTAATAACTTCCAGTCACAATGAAGGTCATCGATGTGGATGTCGCAACATGCGTGCTTCTTTTTCGTGGCCCCTTCACAATGATTTTCTTCCTCGGACTACTCAGCTTGAACTTCTACATATGGCGCCGAGCGGGTATCAACCATGTGCTCATATTCGAATTGAATCCGCGCAACTATTTAGCCGCAGTGCAAATTCTTGAAATTGCTGTTGTATTTGGCTGCATACTATCGTTGCTTACGCTCGCATTCCTACATTCTCAATATCTTGGGATGCCACCATATGTATTTCCGCTTGCCATGCCTGTAATTATGATTGTCTTCCTTATCAATCCTATTCGAGTACTTCATTATCAATTGCGTATGTGGTTGCTGCGTTATTTGGTGAGTCTAAGCAATTAATAAGCGTTTGTATTCCACATCTAAATTTGAATGTAATATTCCACTTTTGATATCCCTTTCGATTTCCCAAGGCACGCATCGCTTGTGCACCATTTTTGAAAGTCGTCTTTGCCGACTTTTGGTTGGCAGATCAATTCAATTCGCTTGTGGCACTTTTCGTCGATTATAGCCACATCATATGTTACTACACCACACCGTTCGATTGGTACCATGCCAAAGAGCCGGCAACTTGTGCTAACAATTATCATCACACCGCTATAATGCGAGTGTTGCCCGCTTGGTTTCGCCTCGCCCAATGCTTGCGGCGACATCGCGACGATCGTACTCGTGATAGAAAGCACTTAATAAATGCTGGCAAATATGCAACTACTTTCTTCGTGGTATTTTTCGACTTCACAAGAATGTATTATGAAGGTGAGTACATCAAGGGTGTACCTTGGCATTTTTGCTGCAGTACCTTTCTTTTCGTTAGCTTCATACAACAGCCGACTGGAGAATCCATTTACCTGGTTGTGGATAACATCAGCCATCATTTCATCATCGTACGGGCTGGCGTGGGATTATCGGAGGGATTGGGGCATCTTTGGTAAAGATGTTGGTGAGCATAAATATTTGCGGTCCCAAATTCTCTATCCAGCGGTGAGTGTAATCGTAGTATGGTACGTGGTTTAAGACCTTAACGCTTTTGGGTTTCTAGGGATTCTACTACTTTTTGATTGTAGAAAACTTTCTTCTCCGTTTTTTATGGGCCTATGTATTTGTACTCGATCAGACGCAAGCGGTTAGCAAAAGGATTATGGCGTCCATAGCGGATATATTGGAAGCAATACGGTAGGTGTATCGAAATGAACAGCATTA